AGATACTGTAATAAATGTTATATATACAGTAGATCCCAGAAGGTAATATATCTTACTTACACACCATACACAGATACTGTAATAAATGTTATATATACAGTAGATCCCAGAAGGTAATATATCTTACTTAAATACCAAACACAGATACTGTAATAAATGTTATATATACAGTAGATCCCAGAAGGTAATATATCTTACTTACACACCACACCCAGATACTGTAATAAATGTTATATGTACAGTAGATCCCAGAAGGTAATACATCTTACTTACAGACTAGAAACAGAATATCTTTCTCTAAAGATGATGCAACTTTTTTGACAAGTTATTTCAAAATTAACATTAATATTTAATAAAACTTATTTAAATGAAATTAAGACAAACATTAAGAAGTTTTGCATGCACACACACAAAGTACATAATAAATTCTGTAGGAAAGGACACGAGTTACCCGCCCAGCAGTAGGAAAAGACAGGGATTACCCGCCCAGCAGTAGGAAAAGACAGGGATTACCCGTCCAGTAGTAGGAAAAGACAGGGATTACCCGTCCAGTAGTAGGAAAAGACAGGGATTACCCGTACAGTAGTAGTAAAAGACAGGGATTACCCGTACAGTAGTAGTAAAAGACAGGGATTACCTGTCCAGTAGTAGGAAAAGACAGGGATTACCTGTCCAGTAGTAGGAAAAGATAGAGATTACCTGTCCAGTAGTTTCTTCTCCCACAAAATGAATGCAGTGATTTCCTGTAAAAAACAAAAAGATGAAAGAAAATTATATAAAGAAACACATCCACAACTTGTATATACAATGTGAACAGTATGTGTTCACAAGTTGTTGAACAAAAAGTAACTCATCCACAGTTAACATATAAAAAGTGTTCACAAGTTGTTGAACAAAACGTAACTCATCCACAGTTAACATATAAAAAGTGTTCACAGGTTGTAAAATACAAAGTAACTCACCCAGAGTTAACATATAAAAAGTGTTCACAGGTTGTAAAACACAAAGTAACTCACCCACAGTTAACATATAAAAAGTGTTCACAGGTTGTAAAACACAAAGCAACTCACCCACAGTTAACATATAAAAAGTGTTCACAGGTTGTAAAACACAAAGCAACTCACCCACAGTTAACATATAAAAAGTGTTCACAGACTGTAAAACACAAAGTAACTCACCCACAATTTTAAATGAACATAAAAAGATTGGATATCATAATCTGTAATGTACACTGAATACTAAAGCAAACTGATGAGCTGGAAAATAGTACCTTAACCAGTAAAACATGGTTTAATGAAATAAGTATCTAGAGAGAGCCACAATGAAAGAGAGGCCAAAACAACTTAAAATGATAAATACTGAAATGTTGACTGAAAATTGATGTAAAACTAAACAGAGAAAGGCTCGGGTTATTACTTCAAACCACTATATTGTCTACCAGTGACCTAGCATTTCATGTACAGGACACCCAGTTTGTGTTTCCATAGCCACTGTGGTACGATTCACTGACCTGGTATTTCGTGTACAGGACACCCAGTTTGTGTTTCCATAGCCACTGTGGTACGATTCACTGACCTGGTATTTCGTGTACAGGACACCCAGTTTGTGTTTCCATAGCCACTGTGGTACGATTCACTGACCTGGTATTTCATGTACAGGACACCCAGTTTGTGTTTCCATAGCCACTGTGGTATGATTCACTGACCTGGTATTTCAACATTTTTCCCCATGGTTCATAGTGCCTTCCCACACCAAGGCTGTCGTAACAGTTTGAATATAAATTACAATGTCATAAATATAAATTTTTTTGTCTGATGATGAGTCATTCTGTGACTGTATAATTAAAGCGTCATGACAATTAGTGATTAGATATTTTCTTTTTATATGGTTATAGTGTGAAAATTAAAATAAAATCTAAAAGTAAACTTTGTTTCATCTCTTATGCAATAATTATAATAGTCACACTCAAAACCCACTTTTTTGTTTCAACCAATGGATTCAGAGCTCGACTTCACAGCAGACATGCTTTAAAATTAAAATTACTCTTCTACTGTCAATAAATTATAATTGTACGTAGAAACAGGTTTAGTAACTCGCCTATAATTTATATATAAATGTATGATCTATTGACAAAGTTAACAGTATATCTCACTTGATATGAAATATGATAGAAAGATCTGTATTTCTTGGCAAACAAAGTAACACCTCAACTGTTTAGAAAATTGTGAACGTGTACTTTTCCCAATACTTAGAGGTCCTTGTAACTAACAAATAGAGAAATTCACCTGTGAAGATGAGTAAGTATGGGTACATTTTAATTGAGAACCTAGCTCTCTTACATCTGTTTTAAAAGATCCATTGATGCACAACTCAATTGTGATTTAATTGTTAAACTTCAGACTTTACATGGGAAAACATATACTACTGATGTATATGTAGACTCATATTTACAAACAGGGTTATAGACTCCTGAAAAAAGTAGATAAATATCCATGAATGACATAAAACATCAAAAATCAAACCTTCCAAAACTACTATTCAAGACAAAATACAGAGAGAAGTATTAAAAATGACATTCTCCCAAAAACAGTGGGTGGACTGTGTCCACTTGTCCAAAAAGAACCACTATGAATGGCATCCACCCAAATCAACCCTCGAGTCTTTCTCTCTCTCTATCGATATTTTGACAGACACAAAGAAGTACGAGTTTAGAATAAAATCGTGCATGTGCTGAAAAGCTAAAAAAACAGCCAATTTTATAAAGATCTATATCTTTAGACAAACTAAAAAACAGAGTAGCTTGTCTAAAGCTTATAAACTTTTGTATCGGCATGCAGAATATTAACAGCAAGAATAAATCATCCATTCTTAAATAGTGTGGGGTAACCTAAACAAAGAATAGCTTTCAACTTAATTCTTAGCTTAAGGTTATACAGTAGGTACGAACTAACTGTCAATTCTTAGCTTTAAATTGTACAGTAGGTACGAACTAACTGTCAATTCTTAGCTTTAAATTGTACAGTAGGTACGAACTAACTGTCAATTCTTAGCTTTAAATTGTACAGTAGGTACGAACTGCAAACTGTCAATTCTTAGCTTTAGATTGTACAGTAGGTACGAACTGCAAACTGTCAATTCTTAGCTTAAGACTGTACAGTAAATATGAACTGCAAACTGTCAATTCTTAGCTTAAGACTGTACAGTAAATATGAACAACAAACTGTCAATTCTTAGCTTAAGACTGTACAGTAGATATGAACTACAAACTGTCAATTCTTAGCTTAAGACTGTACAGTAGGTACGAACTGCACACTGTCAATTCTTAGCTTAAGACTATACAGTAGATATGAACTACAAACTGTCAATTCTTAGCTTTAGACTGTACAGTAGATATGAAC